GAAAGGAAATAAAATTACTTTAGCCAATACAATTAGGTACATAGTAAGATAAATATTGAAATAATGCGCTGGGCGTGGTGGCACACACCGAAATCCAAGCAGCTCAGGAGCCTAAGGCTGGAGGATTGTGAGTTCAAAGCAGCCTCAGCAACTTAGCAAGGCCCTAAGCAACTTGGCAAGACTCTGTCTCTAAATAAAATATAAAAAGGGCTGGGGGATGTGGCCCAGTGGTTAAGCACCCCTCGGTTCAATCCCTGGGACCAAAAAAAAAAAAAAAATTGAAATAATGCATACAACATGATTGCCTTTCTCCAAAGAATCAAATGAAAATTGCTGGGTCTCATGAGTTGAAGGAGGTGGCCAGTTAGGAAATGCACACATAGGTCACTGGTTTCCCCAGTGCTGCTGTCTTGAGCTGAAGGATTGAGTCACGTCCTTCCCTGCCTGCTTTCCCTGCTTCCTCCCTTGCCCTTCACTCCCACAGAAACAGTTTCACATTCAGTGTGGACCCTTTTCCCCAAGTTCACAGAAGCATGTATGGTGTCAGGTAATTCACCCTCAGAAATCAAGTGGTTATCAGGATTGACTGAGTTTCTGCTTGAAGAGTCTGTGCACTGACAGGAGACTAGCACTGTGGCTCATGAAGTCCCACTTGGGACCATCCCAGAAGCAGCTTTTTCTTTTCACTTCTGCATTACAAACTTTGGGGTGCAACTAGGAGCAGTGGTGCACACCCGTAACCCTAATGACTCAGGAGGCTCACACATCTGAGGCCAGCTTAGACCACTTAGCAAGACCCTATCTCAAAATCAAAAGGACTGAAAGTGTAGCTCAGTGGTAAGGAATCCGCAGTACCACACATGCAAACATTTTTTCCCCAGACTGGGGCTGGAACTCAGTAGTAGAGTACTTGCCTCAAATGTGTGAGGCAAGATAAATAAATAAAGGTATGGTGTCCATCTTCAACTTAAAAAAAAAAAAAAATAGCATGTGATGCTGGCCCTTTGTTGGCAGAGCCAAAACTTAATTCTCCTGTGTTCAGAGTTAGCACTTTGGACGGTCAATATGGAAAAATATTTTATACAAGTTCAACTTTCAGGGAAAACAGAAATGTGGTATTTTTTTTTTTTAATAAGACATACACTATGTTCAATCTCATCACTACCTGAATAGTTCATCAAAAAAACAAAGCATTACTAAACAGTAAAGGCCGATAGATTTCTGTCAGGGTGCCACACTGAAACTCTTGCCTGCTCTTACACAGGCTTCAAGTTAAGAAACAGGAAAACATCAAAAGAAAATCATAAGCAATTCAAGGACTGGGAATATATCTCAGTGGTAGAGTGCTTGCTAAGTTTGCTCAAGGCCCTGAGTTCAGTCCCCTGCACAAAAGGGAGGGAGGGAGGAAGGAATTTTATGCAGTTTGGATTCAGGGTTTACCAACAAGCTTTACCAGTTTAAAGGTATGGTGTCCAGCCACACCTAGTCATTTGCTTTTATCCTCTTTCCCATGGACAACAGAGGAGCTGAACAGTGGCAGGCAGAGACCACATGGCCCACAACACCAAAATATGTACTACGGTCCTTCACAGATACAATGCCAGCTCCTGGTTTACATCATTCAGCCAGTGACAAGGACACCTGGCAACAGTGCCCAGAGCACTGTTAGGTCCTGCTGCAGAATGAGTCTACTTCTATTTCCCATATATTGTCACACTTACCCAGTTTCCAGTATCTGTGGTTGGCCAGTGCCTCAATATCTTCATATATCCCACAGGACCAGGCCCTGGCCACCTCTGCTACAGCACAGCTGAGCCTGGAAGGAATCTGTAGTGCCTCACCCTGGTTATTGGTGAGCTCTGTGGACTCTAGTCCTAAAAGGGAGTGTGTTGCCTTGTTTCATCTGGAAAGAGATGGGAGAAGAGGCAGGCATGGTGGCTGAGGCAGGGAGAATCACAAGTTCCATGCCAGCCTGCCTGAGAAGCTTAGCAAGACCCTATTTCAGAATTAAAAGGGGGGCCTGAGAATATAGCTCAACGGTAGAGCTACATTCATGTGCAAGGCCCTCAGTTTGAAACCGGTGCCTCAAAAAGAGAGATGGGGAAACATGATAGGGCTTCTGATCATTCCCAAAGGCCCTGTGCCTCTAATGCCAGCAGACAAGGAGACCAGGGCAGATGATGCAAGGACAGGGGAAGAGCAGTCTGGTAAACCCATTCAGGCATCTTAGTTTAAGGCAGCTATTGATGATGATGGTTCTTTGAAAAAAAAAAATTAAGGCCAACAGAAACAACAGTGTTAAACTGGTGTGGTCCTAGGAAAACCCCACCTGTGACATCTGTGCGACCACCTATGCATCACCCCCCACAAACTCATCCTAGAGCCAGGTTTCCATCACTGTAACAGACCTAAGTAATCAACTTTTGAACAGATCAGGTTTACTTGGCTCCCAGTTGTGGAGAATTGATTGGTTGCAGTACTGGGGATTGAACCCAGAGGTGCTCTACCACTTAGCCATATTTCCAGCCCTTTTTATTTTAAGATAAGGTTTTGCTAAATTGCTAAGGCTGGTCTCAAACTTGGAATCCTCTGCCTCAACCCACCAAGCTGCTGGGATTACAGGTGTGTGCCACTGCACCTGACAGTTTTGGAAGTTTGATCCTTGGTCAGTTGGCCTCTTTGCCACTTGTGGTATATCATGGTAGGGAGCTCATTGTAAAGCAAAATCACCTACCCCCTGGCCTGAACAAGAAAAGAGAAGGAGAACAGGGTCTCAGAGTCCCTTCAAGGACACACCCCAGTGATCTAGAACCTTCCCACTGGGCCCCACCTCTTAGGTTCCACACCCCACCCAATATCGTGAAGCTGGATACCAATCCTTTTTTTCTTTTTTAGATGGGAGTCTTGCCATGTTGCCCAACACCTCAAACTCCCTGCCTCAACTTCCTAAGTAGCTGGAACTACCCCAGGTGCCAACACGCCCAGCTGAAGCCTCTAACGCAGGAGCCTTTGGGAAGCATTCTGTGTCCGAGCTGTGCCTCCCCTCTGGCTCCGCCCCAGCAGCCTCTGGCTCCTGCACAATTGCCCGCAAGGCTGGCCCTTGCTCTTCTCAAGACTTTGTCCACACATCCCCTTTCAGGGGTGCCTTTCTTCACTGTTTAAAATTAAAACACTGTCAGCAGCTACTTTTGGAGTGATGGGAATGTTCTGCATCTGGTTTTTTTGTTATCTTTTTTTTTCTTTTCATGGCACTAGAGATTGATACCAGGGCCTTGCATTACTACATAAGCAGTACAGTGAGCTACATCCTGTTTCCTTTTTCTTTTCCTTTTTTTTTTTTTTTTTTTAATTTCCAGACAGGGCCTCGCTAAGTTGCCAAGGCTGGCCTCAAACTTGTGATCTTCCTGCTTCATCTTACTAAATTGCTGGGATTACAGGTGTGTGCCACCACACCTGGCTTGTGTCTCAAGTTTCAGATGTGGTTTCACAAGTGTATTCATATGTCAAAACTCTTTCAAGTATGCACTTCAGATATGTGCAGTTTATATTAGATATAAATTTTACCTTAGTAAAGTTCTTTTTAAAAATGGGCTGCAGAGAATTTAATAAAAGTATGTGTGGTCATGTTTCTGTACATGGGTTAATTAATATATATACCTGTTTGGAAAGTCTTTGGACTATGAAAGAAAATAATGACTGTTGATTTTTCTAAGTAATGAGCATTTTTATCAGTCAACAAAATTTTAGTTTTTTGGTTTTTGGTTGGGTTGTTTTTTTGTTTTTGTTTTTGTTTTTTTTTCCAGGGATTGAACCCAGAGGAGCTTAACCACTGAGCCACATCCCCAGCCATTTTTAGTTTTTATTTAGAGACAGGGTCTTGCTAATTTGCTGAGGCTGACCTTGAACTTGCAATTCTCTAGCTTTAGCCTCCCAAATTGCTGGGATTACAGAAGTGCACCACCATGCCTGTCAGTTTAGTATTTCTTGAGAGAATGTGGTCTTATGTTTCTCATAACCTTTTTTTTAAATATTTATTTTTAGTTGTAGGTGGACACAATATCTTTATTTCATTTTTATGTGGTGCTGAGGTTTGAACCCCGTACCTCACATGTACTGGATGAGCACTCCACCACTGAGCCACAACCCCAGCCCCTCCTAACTTAATTTTCAAATTACGTTAAAAGGCAGTGCAATTTTTTTAATTTTTTTTTTTTTTGTAGTTGGACACAATATCTTTATTTATTATTTATGTGGTGCTGAGGATTGAACCCAGTGCCTCCCACATGCAAGGCGGGCACTCTACCACTGAGCTACAGTCCCAGCCCAAGGCAGAGAAATTTTTAAATCTGCCAAAGAAAAGAGTTTTTAAGGTAGTTCTATGGTATAAGAGTGTTTAGGAAAAAAATGGTTAATCCAAGTAGCTAATTTCTAGGTGGTCCCAAGCATCCAGGAATCCCGTTTTGTTTTGAAGCTCAGGTCAGGCCATACTCACGAAGTTTTCTTTTCTTTTTGTTTGGTTTGGTTTTGATTTTGGTACTGGGGTTTGAACCAGGGACTTTACCACTGAGCTTAATCCCCAGCTCTTTTTATTTTTTTTTACTTTGAGACAGGGTCTCACTAAGTTGCTGAGGTTGGCCTTGAACTTGTGATCCTCCTGCCTTGGCCACCCAAGTGTCTGGGAGTACAGGTGTGCACCTCTGTGCCCAGCTAACCTCGCTTTCCTTGTACTAACACTTGTCTTTGGCATGTAGTTGCTCTGCAGACTGGTTCTCCTGGTCAGAACACTACTTCCTAGCTCTGGAAGTCCCTGGTACCCTGGAGCTGTGTTGTTTATAAACTGTGACATTCACACTTGCGTGGCTGCATGGTGGAGTGTCATGCCCAAGCCCAGGGACTGTGAAGTCAGATGCCCAGTTCAGTTAAACTGAGCTTGTGCTTGAATTGCCCTTCATTCCACAGATACCACCCCTTCATGCTGACTGCTTATTTTTCTGCCCCAGGGAACCATCAGCGTTGGAGTAGATGCCACTGACCTTTTTGATCGCTATGATGAGGAGTATGAAGATGTATCTGGAAGTGGCTTTCCACAGATTGAAATCAATAAAATGCACATATCCCAGTCCATTGAGGTAAAGCACACAAACACCTCTCTTGGTACCACACAGGCCTGAGTTAATGAGGCACAGCACCCCCAGCAGCTGGAATGAGAGTTTGCCTGGGGTTTTTCTCATCTTTATTTATGAAAGCATGCAATTAGCCACTTTAAAGGAAAGCCAGCTGCAGTCACAGCCATGTCTGTTACCGCTCTGTCCACACATGAGCCAGCATGCTTGCCAATCTGGGGCTTTCAGGCTGCAGGGTCTCAGGGACATTAATGGTCTGGGAGACCTAGAAGCCCAAGGTCCTGATGATTTTAGGAAAGAAGGCAGACCTCCGTGGATAATTCTAAGAACTGGTTTTCTTACATGCCATTATGTGCTGGCAGGTTATAGCATCTCTGCTCCTGAGCCCTGGGGTCACTGAAATGTCACCTTTGCCCAATATTTGGATACGACAAAGCCGGGCCTTTCCACTGAGGACTACTGCAGGTGTCCACCTCCTTAGCTCTTTATTGATTCTCAAGCACATCAGCCTGAAACACGGATTGACACAGGGACACTTGCCCTCTCCTAGAGCTTTGTGCCTTCGCACATGCTATTGAAAGGTTTTTCAGTCCCTTCCAGAACCTGATGGCATACAGGTACTGGAGAGGCTCAGGTAGCCTACAGTGGGAGGCACAATGTAGATTCACTGTGCACTTCCACACATGGGCACACTAACGACCCAGCATTTAACCCTGGGTTTCTGTGGTTTTTTCGATTTTCCCCACTAAGCTTTTGCAAAACATTTCACCTTCATGGCCACATGCAGTTCAAATAACAGTGCAGTGATTGAGGTGGCCGCAGGGCTCTACACATCGGACCTGCTGTCTATGTGCCTTTGGCCATGTGTCTACAGAGGAGTCATCAGACTGCTGGCATTGCGCTTCCTGTTGCTTGGGTTCACTTGTTACAGCCAGTGTCTTTTTCTAGGCACCTTTGACGGCCACAGACACAGCCATCCTCTCTGGAAGCCTCTCAACCCAGAATGGCAATGGTGGGGGTTCCATTAACTTCGCACTCCGCCGTGTCACCTCTGCAAAGGGCTGGGGAGAGGTAAGACTGCCATGAGGCCGGATCATATTGTCCATGCCAAGCCTTATTTTTTAATATGTGCCCTCTAAAAGTTAACCCTCACAGTGGCAGGGGGTGACCATGTAGTTGTGAAGCCAGGTACTGGATATCAGACTTTTAGATGTTGGTCCCAAAGGAAGAATATCACATCTGAAGAGTCCTACCAGTCTGCTGAACAGTTTAAAGCTAGGATAAGATGTCCTTCAGATGCCAGTTCCAGAAATCCAGCCTCTATAGAAGCTCAGCATCTTTTCTTCTAGCAGTCCTTGTGGGCTGTCCCCAATTCCTTCAGGGACAGGAGGCCATGCCTGTCTTGGGGTCCTGGCCCACTGCTAGTTGATCATGTAGCATCCAGCTCTGCCAAGTCCTAAGCTGCATCAAATTAACATTGAAGACTTGCCTTGAGAGTCACCTATGCGAGTACATGAGGCAGCCACTGCTAGCTGTGACTTCTAAGGCCTTGCAAGCGGAGAACTGCTGTTGGGCTTTAACATCAGACCCCTGAGGCCCATATCCAGTCCTGTAGGAACTTCAGAGTAAAGGAGTTGGCACCATGGCGTGGGGGTGGTGGCACACCTGACCAAAGCAGAACATCAGTGGGTCAAGAGGAGCAGACTGCTCTCCTATTCTGACTGAGCAGGAGGTGGGTCTGAGGCAAGCAGGGTTATTTTTGAGGAACCCCCTACTGCTGCCTGGGCCTCCAGGCAGGCCTGGGGAAGCTATCAGCTCCAGTGGGCAGGGGTGAGGGTAGAGCAGCATGAACCTGGTGCTCCCTCTATTTAGAGCCCTGGCAAGAACATTGAAGCAAACAAAGGAATTCTGACCAGGGTACACATTTGAGACCTGGGTCACTGCTATAATTTGAAGTTCTATTAACTATTTCTTTCTTTTTCAAACAGTTGGAATTTGGAGCTGGAGATCTCCAGGGGCCTTTATTTGGTCTCAAGCTGTTCCGTAATCTCACACCAAGATGGTAAATATAAGAGATGAGATAACTACTCTTTGGTGGTCTGCATTTAGAAGACCAGAATCTGTGTGTTCTCATGGTCAAGGTCATTTGGACTTCTTTTGTTCATCATCCTACAAGGTTATTGAGCACCATGGGGCAAAGGCCTGGCACCAACATGCAGCCTGGCAGCCTGCAGGTTGGAAAGGGCACCAGATTGGGTGTGGGAGGCTAATTCTGGCCCCAGCCCCAGCCAGGCCTCTCCTCTGTGCTAAGAAGTCTCCCCACCTTTGACCTCATGGTTCTCTAAGAACCACAAGACAATGAAAAATACCTTTGCCAGGATGTAAGTCAGCAGTCTTAGGTGCTTACGACATGTGGGTCATTTCTTTGTCCCAGGAGATATTGAACTGCCTGGTAATCAGTTGGACTCACATATGCCAGAGTTCTGCCCAGCCCCTGCTTTCTTCACCTGTGTGGCTGCAGCAATGTCACACTCCTAGGACTGCACCGTTGTCCCTTGTAGAACAGCACAGTGTCCTCCTTTCCCATGTGATGGGGTCATAGGTGTCTCTGCAAGTTCAGATCAAGGATTTGGGAGGGAGGTAATCACATCTCTTTCCTCTGAGGAAAGCAGAGCTGAAGGTGTCCTGAGGCAGAGCAGGTGTTGATGAGAAAGCTATTCCGTTTCCACTGGGGTGTGTCTTTGGGCCTATCAGGATCACTCAGATCCTGCTAGCCAGGCTGGTTGGTCAGTGCGTTGTGGATAGGGAGCAAGGCAGGTCCAAGAATCAGGCTGGCACACAGAGTAAGAAGTGTTGTGAAAGAACTTGAGTGCAAGAGCCCTCTGGGAGCACATGGCATGTGGTATAAGCAGAGAACACAAGATGGAGGGGTCATGGCCAGGCCCAGTAGCCATGCCTGTTATCCTAGCGGCTTGGGAGATGGAGGTAGGAGGGTCAAAGTTCAAGGCCAGCCTGGGCAACCTAGGCAGCTTAGCTCAATGGTAGAGCTTCCCGAGGTTTAGTTCCAAGAGCCACACACCCACAAAAAAGATGGACCAAGACCCTGCAGGCCACTGCTCTAATATTGGGTTCACAGGTCTGCGAAGGGGACAGGGCTGAAACCATTAACCAGGATGTGGGGCGATTACCTGTGTGTGCATGGCAGTGTTGGCCTAACCTTGTCTGTTTAGAATTGTCACCCCGGTGCTGATGAAAAACTGAATTCAGTCCTCTGAAGGAGGGAACTAGGAATCTAGTTATTTCAAGGCCTCCCCAGGTAAGTCTTCAGACAGACTTAGAAGACATCACTGAGGAAATTTTTTTTATCATTTTGCTCTGGTTTGGCCTCAAAGTGTCTATCCAAAGTGGTCACCAGGGATCTGGCTGGTTGTCAGCTTTTACAGGTCTGGAAATAGAATGTGTTGTAGCACCAGAGTTTATCAGACTGAGAATCTTGATTTATGAACAAGGGTGACTTGTGTATAAATAGTGGGGATGGTTTATAAACAGGGGTGCCAGTTTATTACTGTACAGTGACCAGACAAGGTAAGTCCACTCTACAGACTTCCTGCCCCATGCTTTAAGTTATTTGCATGTCCATGCCACAATCAGAGGTTGTGAAGTGGGCCATGGTGGCAGGCACCTGTGATCCCAGCTCTAGAGGGCATGGCAGGAAGCCATCCTAGACAACAGAGTGAGACCCTGTCCCAAGAAAAAGTAGTCACTTCCTCTTGGAATTCTAGAAATCACTTTCTGTCTTCTCTCTCCTTGCTCACTTAACCCAGTGTGGCTAAAGCACAAAAATGTGTGGCCCTTCTTCAGCATGGCTTGAGAATGACAGGAGGGTTGGGTTGGGACCTGTGGAGAGTGAAGAGTGGGCTCTTGGCTCATTTGGCCAAAGGAAGCCTCAGCAGTGAGTAAGGGAGTGATGCTGGTAGGACTTGCTATCAGTGGCCAGAGTGAGTGCTGGGCTGTTTCCCACTCAAATCCTAGCTCTGCAGCCAAGCTCTGAGTCCTGCTAGTTAGGGAAATACCCTTTTTTAACCAGAAGATGGGGCTGTACCGCCTTGGAAGCAAACCTCAGAGCTGTTCACAGATGATGGCTTTTCCAGTAGCTTAAGTCGGGAGTTCACAATGCAGGTGTACACCAGGATCACCTGGGCATTTTTTAAAAATATACTGATGCCTGGGCCCCAGAAAGATTCTGCTACACATCCACGGCCTAGGGAAGACTGCTCACCCCCCGGCCTGCACTGTAAGCCAGGTGCCTGGCACAGGCGCCAGCTCCAGTGAGTGTGCAGCAGCATTCAGGAACATTGCCCCGGGCTGCCTCTGAGAGCACCCTCCCGTCACTGACCTGGAGCAGGACTGCTGTCCATTAGTGTGGGGACACAGCAGTCTAAAGTTAGGGTGGACAGGGTAGTGCAGGTTGCCAGGCAAAGTCCTAGAAGGTTCCACCATGCCTCCCTCCCATGTCCTGTGGTCCACCACCATCCTTGCTGGGAGCTGGTCCAGGGATTCACGGAGTGACTGTGAGTGAGGTCTTAGGAAATGACAGAGAACAGCTGAGAGCAGATGTCATCCAGACCCTTTCTGTGTCCCCCCAGCTTTGTGACGACAAACTGTGCTCTGCAGTTTTCATCCCGTGGCATCCGTCCTGGCCTTACCACTGTCCTAGCTCGGAACCTGGACAAGAACACAGTGGGCTACCTGCAGTGGCGATGGGGTATCCAGTCAGCCATGAACACAAGCATCGTCCGAGACACTAAAACCAGCCACTTCACTGTGGCCCTGCAGGTGAGCCAAAGAATTGCAGTCTCTTGAGGACACAGCTCCAAAGGACTGGCTCTCCTGTGCACTCACTGTGCCCTTCAGTCCTGCACCTTGATCACCTTCTCAAGTCTAACACTAGGGGACCTGCAGGGCAGGGCTACAGACACTTAGGAACCGTCTTTCAGAACTCCCGGCGTAAGGACTCTTGTTCTCAAGTGGCCCAGGTGGCCCTGTTCAGATCATCCAAAAGCAAAATAGCATTTTGACATCGTCATCAGGAGAAGCCCACAGCATTAGGACAGGAGCCATGATTGACAAATAGAGCCCTGGACAGAAGGGTGCACTCAGAGGCTCCAGGGAAGAGGCGCCCTGGGCAACTGCTCCTTGGCTCACACCTCTTGCTGCTACCAGCAACATGGGCTTGGTGTTGCCAGAAATTGAGGGAAAGGGTGTTGTTTTGTTTTGTTTTGTTCTTTTTCCCCAAAAGAAGCCAGAAAACTAGATTTTTTTTATGTGAAGTCTCCTGGTTTGATTTGGTTTTATGATGCTGGGATGGAACCCAGCGCCTTGTGCATGTTAGACAAGGGCTTGCTGAGCTATCCCAGCCCTTCTCCCAGCTCCTCTAGTCACGCGCTGTGTAATGTTTCAGTCAGTGACGGAGCTCACATACGTCAGTGGCCCTGTAAGAACGTCTCAGTGAGGTCTTAACTGTCAGATGAAGGAATACACTAGTAATGTCCACAGAACAACAGTCACCTGGCAGCGTGTTTCTGGAATGGACCCGTCATTGCAAGACTGCTGACCATACTGGCTGCTGATAAATTTTCATATTACTTGCATGACTACATAAAGACCTGTGCAAGTGGACGCCTGGCCACTCTTGCGAGGGTAGATGCCACCTTTGTGCAGATCCATGAGAACCAGCCCTGAGTCCATTTCTGTCCCCTGTCTCCTCAGCTGGGGATCCCCCACTCCTTTGCACTGATCAGCTATCAGCACAAGTTCCAAGATGATGACCAGACGCGTGTGAAAGGGTCCCTCAAGTAAGTCCCAACCTGGCCACTGGGGAAGCCTCAGGCTCTAAGGAGGGTCTCAGTAGAGCCAGTGGTGGGGGTTGACAGAGCCCCAGGCAGAAGGGTGTGACCTCTGACCTCTTTGTCCATGATGCTCCTTGAGTGCCTCCTGCCATGTGGTGAGGGCTTTGCTGCTCCATGGTCTAGCCTCGAGTACCCTGGCTGCTCTGCAGGAGAACCTCCCCAGTGTCTCGATGCTCTTCCATTAGCAGCTCAACATCAGTCAGGAATCCTCTCCTGTGGGTAGTGGCGGGGCAGGATGGGGGCCCAGTCTCTGTTCTCAAATAGTAGCTACCCATCAGGTAGTGCTGGAGGGACGTGGGCACTGACCGCCGCCCTCTGCATCCTGCAGGGCAGGCTTCTTCGGGACCGTGGTAGAGTACGGAGCCGAGAGGAAGATCTCCAGGCATAGCGTCTTGGGTGCTGCTGTTAGTGTTGGAGTCCCACAGGGCGTTTCTCTCAAAGTCAAGTAAGTTGAACTCCCATCTTTCTGGCCAGGGAACACTTGGCCGCTTCCCTCAGCTGGGCTAACCTGAGTCAAGATGAGCTAGCCTTTGCTTTGCAGTTTTGTAGATGTGGTTGCTTCTGCCTTGGGTGCATAAGTAGAGGTCAGGGAGTGCAGAAGTCTCACAGTGAGTTAGGAAGGTCTGGGTCTCTGCGCCTCCTTCTCTGAAGGTGCTGGCTGATGCCAGGCGGCCTGATGCTGCCTGCATGGAGTGGCACCACCCGAGCACCTGCAGCATCAGCTTGTCCTCTCCCCAGATGCACCGTGAGCACAAACACCCTTTTCCCCATGCCAGCCCCTACCCTGACTCTCATTTTCAGAAGTGTTGTCTGCGTTTGCTTACTTTCCTTCTAACCTCCTCCTGTTGGGCGCTGTTCCCAAGCCCTTTCCAGAAGCAGCCAGCAGTGGGGACCCTCCCTCCTACAGCAGACCAGAGGGCAACTCTTCTCGTCTTGCTTGGTCTCTGCGGCTGCTGCCTATGGCTGCTCCACGCTCCTGTACGCCCTCCCTGCCCTGGGATCCTGGGATATAGCGTTCTTTCTCTGTTTTTTCTGACCAGCAAATTCTCCTTTTCTCCCAAACTTCTCCCTGGAGACATCACGTGGAACACAGTCCTCTCTCTGGGTACTCTGTCACGTAGGCTCCTCTGGCCTCATGGCTTCATGTACCAAGGACTCACACCTCAAGAGCCCAAGTGTGGATCACTTCCTGAATCTCCAGCTCCTACTCACAGTGAGCCCTCTGTAGTGAGGAGTTCCAGTTCTATGGATTTATGCAATGTCAGGCGGAAAATATTTGGAGGAAAAATATTGCACTGTACTGAACATGGGTAGATTTATTTCTTGTTATTATTCCCTATACAGTATAGTGTAATGATTGTTTATACAGCATTTACATTGTGTTAGATATCATAGGTAATCAAGAGATGATTTAAAGTATATGTAAGGAACTGGGCTCATCCAGCAACTCAAGAGGCTGAGGCAGAAGGATCACAAATTTGAGGCCAGCCTCAACAACTTTGGAAGACCCTGTCTCAAAATAAAGAATAAAAAGGACTGGAAATAGGTGCTGAGGTTGTGGCTCAGAGGTAGAGCACTCGCCTAGCATGTGCGAGGCACTGCGTTTGATCCTCAGCACTATATAAAAGTAAATAAAATGAAGGTATTGTGTCTGACTACAGCTAAAAAAATAAAAAAGACTGGGAATATAGCTCAGTGGTAAAGCACTCCTGGTTCAATCCCTAGAACCCCACACACAAAAAAACAAAAGCCCTACAGAGTAGCCTGTGATTTAGTCTGTTTCAACACTGCTCCTGTGCAGATGCTGAATGACATCTAACATATCCAAATTGGGTTCTCACCCCAAGAGTGTAACCCTATATTTTTGGAAAGAAACATTTACATTCATTTGAGTTTTTCCAGCTAAATTGTTCCAACTGAATTGGTATAGAGGTTGAATATCCCTTATCTGAAATGCTTAGGATTTTTTCAGATTTTGGAACCTTTGCATAGACCTAATGAGAAGGAGTGGGATCTAAAGTATGTTTCATATGTATCTGATTCATATAGCCTGAAGGTAATTTCATATACTATTTTTGCACATGAAGCCAGTGTGGAACTTTCTACTTGGGAAAGAAGTTTTGGATTTTGGAACATTTTGGATTTTCATATTAGGGATGCCTCACCTGTATGAACCAAAGTTTTGTCAGAAGGCACCATATTTTCAACCAAAGCAGATTGTCTGTCTTTGCTAAGTGTGCTCTTATATTCTGTTTATTGGAGGAATCACATAAGTGTTTTAGTTTTAAACCAACATCACCATGTTCCTAGGGAGTCCCTGTGATCCTGATATCACTTTATACATTGCTCACTGTGATTTACTGCATCTTACTAGGGATGCTGTGGAGGGTATTGGGCTATGGTTTTTCCATTTTTATTATGTACTTGTCAGGTTTCAAGATGAGTTGTGCCAGCTTCATAAAGTAAGTTAGAAATATGTCTCCTCTGCTTTCTCAAAGAATTTGCATAAGATTGGTGTTATCTCCTCCTCCTTTTTGGTAAAGATTCAATTACTTTTGTAAATATATAGGACTTTGTACCTTTTGTTTCATCTTACCTTGACTGTGTTATTCTGTGTTTCTCAAGGAGTGCATCCATTTCATCCGGGTGTCAGATCTGACAGCATGAAGTAGGCTAACAGCCCATCTTCTCCCTCTGGTCACCTGCACGCAGCCCTCTTTCCGATTGTTTCCTAACATGTGTCCTCCCCACTTTCTCTTAGTATAGCAAGAACTTATCTTTGGGAAGAACCTGGTTAATTTTCTCTTACTTACAAATTTTATTTTTATTTATTTATTTTTTTTTGTGTGTGTGTGTGTGTGTGTGTGTGGTGCTAGGGATTAAACCCAGGGCTTTGTGCATGCTAGGCAAGCACTCTATCAGCTGAGCTACACATCCCCAGCCCTGTTTTGTTTTGTTTGTTTCTTTTGGGTCTTGGAGTTTGAACCCAGGAACGCTTAACCACTGAAACATCCCTATCCATTTCTTATTTTTTTAATTTTATGTGGTGCTGAGAATCACACCCACTGCTCCACACATGCTAGGCAAGCACTCTACCATTGAGCCACAACCCTAGCCCCCCCCACACCCCTTTTTTATATTTTATTTAGAGACAAGGCCTCAATAAATTACTGAGGCTAGCTTTGAACTTGGGATTCTCCTGCCTCAGCCTCCAAGTCGCTGGTTGACAGCTATGCCCAGCTCAGTCCTATTGAGAGTTGTTTTATGGCCCAACATTAATCCAGATGAATATACCATGTGCAGCTGAAATGAACGTGTGTTCTGTAATTGTTACATATAGTGTTTCACAAATGCCAGTTAAATCAAGATGACAGCAATGTTGAGAATTTTTATTTTTTTATTTTTACATAATACCTCTATTTTATTTATTTTTATATGGTGCTGAGGATTGAACCCAGTGCCTCACATGTCCACTGAGCGACAACCCCAACCCCAGTGTTGAGAATTACTATAGTTTTAATGATCTGGGGAGAAAGTTCTGTCAATGAGAGGAATGCTAACATCTCCAACTCTGATAGTAGATTGATTTGATTGACTGGTTGGTTGGTTGGTTGGTTGGTTGATTGGTTGGTTGGCTGATTGGTTGATTGATTGTACCAGGGATTGAACCCAGGGACACTTAACCCCTGAGACACATCTCCAGCCCTTTTTATTTATTTATTTTTAGATGCTCTTTTTTGTTTATTTTTTTAGTTGTCAATGGACTTTTATTTTATTTATTTATATGTGGTGCTGAGAATCAAACCCAATTTCTCATACATGCTGGGTAAGTACTGAGCCACAACCCCAGCCTTATTTATTTATTTATATTTTATTAGTTGTTGATGAACCTTTATTTATTTATATGTGGTGCTAAGAATCGAACCCAGTGCCTCACACATGCTAGGCAAGCACTCTACCACTGAGCCACAACCCCAGTCCCAAAAAATATATATACATTTATTTTTTAGTTATAGGTGGACCCAGTGTCTTTATTTTACTTTATGTGGTGCTGAGGATCGAACCCAGTGCCTCATGCATGCTAGGTGCACTCTACCTCTGAGCCACAACCCCAGCCCTGTATTTTTTATTTTGAGACAGGGTCTCGCTAAGTTGTTTAGGGCCTCATTAAGGTAATGAGGCTGGCTTTGAACTTGCAAACCTCCTGCCTCAGCCTCCTGAATCACTGGGTTTATAGGCATGAGCCACAAAGCTCAGCAAAGCTTTGGTTTAAAGTAAAACAAAAACAGGCCCAGTGTAGTGGCACCTGGGGAGGCTGAGGCAAGAGGATTGTCTGAGCCCAGGAGTTCAAGGCCAGCTTGGGCTACAGAGCAAGACTCTTGACTGATGGATGGGAGAATGAATGGATCTGATCACCTTTGTTTTGTAACATGTGGCTGAGTTCATGGGTTCTCCCGTTAGCACCATCAATCTAGCCCAAACTACTCAGCCATCACTGGGAACAAAGCCTCCTTAATTCGCTAACTTGAAATCTTCACAGACTTTCTTAGAACATGTCTCTCCAAGACACCTGTCCTCTGGGGCCTGTGACCCAGCACAGCCACAGGGGACAGTTGCTCTGATTGTTAATTCTAGGGCTTCGTCTTGAGGTCCGCACCTAACAGTCCCTTCTTCTGCCACATCTGTCACATCTGGCAGCTAACCTTTGGAAAGGAACCAGCAGAGGGAGGGGACTGTAAAGCCAGTAGGTACTAGGATCCTTGGAACTGGTGCTGTGGTACCTCAGGCCTGCTTCCTGTGGCTGGGACCCATCAACCTTCACTAGAAAACCTGACTTATCCTGGGTGTTTTGTTTTTGTTTCTCCCCAGGCTAAACAGGGCCAGTCAGACCTACTTCTTCCCTATCCACCTGACGGACCAGCTGCTGCCCAGCGCCGTGTTCTATGCCACTGTGGGGCCTCTCATTGTCTACTTTGCTATGCACCGTCTGATCATCAAACCATACCTCAGGGCTCAGAAAGAAAAGTGAGTTTCAGACATGTCGTGGGGTTATTAGGAAAATTAAACTAGTTAACGCATATAAAGTACTTGGCATGGCATCCAGGTCCTCACAGGTCTACAATAAACCCTACCCAGCAGCAGCAGAACTGTCCCCTTGATTTGTCATTCTTAACTTTCAGAAAGGGCTAGAGTTGGTGTCTAAAGTCGATACTCTAAACCATGACCAAAAGAAAGTCTTCTTTTTTCCTCTAGCCATTTCTTTTCCTGGCATAGCATTTAAGAGGAGCGGGTTCTGTTCTCCTGCAGGGGATATGTATGTGCTCACTGTAGTTGGGAAGTCACAGGAAGGAACTTACTGGGTGGGTCCGTGCGGGTGATCTCCTGGGGCACGGTGTGAAACCTGAACTCGTAGAACATCCCCACAGAAACCCAGGGGTGTGGGCTGGGGCACTTTTTAACAATGTTTAATGGAGACTTAGCAAACCTGTAGAACGGAGGACCCCTCTGTTCTGGGCACCTCTGGCCTTGGATTACTACCATCCAGGTTCCCAGTTCCCCTGGAGGCCTGCGGCTTGGAACTGTGAGTGTGCTAGGTCAGGTCTTCTAACAGGACGCAGTATGCCGACCCCAAGTCCCTGTGCTTTGGTACAGGAAAGTGGGTTTTATGTTTCTGTGTACCTAAAGTAGTGCGAGTTGTTCCTCCCAAAGTGCTGTGTAATAAGCCCAGAGGCAGGCAGAACCTCCTGAGATTCTTGCCAGGTGAGGTCTTCTTTCCAAGGAGTCTGCCAGTGGGCTCTTGAGGCCCTGGAGGAGGAGGGGAGGGAGCGAGGGCCACACAGTAACTAATGGAAGGCTGCACAGTCCTGTAGCTCACGGGCCCGCCTGAGACTACCTGGGAAATATTTCTTGAAGCACCAGAACCAGCAATCCAGTGAGATCACAGACTGTGTGCTGGGCTCAGGTCCAGCAAGGGCCCCTGTGGACGGACTGTGGAGCAGCACCACGCTCACATGTGGCTTGTGCTTCTCTCACAAAAGGGAACTGGAGAAGCAGAGGGAGAGCACTGCCACGGACATCCTGCAGAAGAAGCAAGAGGCAGAAGCGGCCGTAAGTGCTCAGCATCCAGCAGGCCCACCCCCTCGGATGAGCCTCCTGCCACACAGAGCCCAGAACACAGGAAAGACCCTCTTCTCCAGCTTGCGTGTCAAGTTGGCTGCAGGATGCACTGCACCCTGCAATGGGCTCGGGAGCCTTGGTCTTTTCTTCCCCAGCAGCCTCACCGTGTAGCCTTTATGCTTGCTGTGGGATGCACTCCTGGGGACTTAGTTCCCTGTCCTGAAGATATCGACAGCTCTCCAAAGGCATAACGGGGTTTTAAAAAATAGCCAGAGCCAGGTGCAGTGGCCCATGCCTGTGATCCCAGCAACTCAGGAGGGAGGCAGAAGGATCACAAGTACAAGGCCTCCCTGAGCAACTTAGCAAGACCAGGGCTGAGGATGTAGCTCAGAGTAGAGAGCCCCTGGGTTCAATCCCCAGTACCACACACACACACAAAAGTAGCTGGTATTTCCTCTTTTCCTTCCCATTTTGTACTGCCTTCTTTGGGACATGAAGGAGTAGATATCTTGTATGAATGGCAGGGGACCAGGGGGTTCTTGGTGGTCAGAGGAGGGCTGGCATGCACAGGATATCAGCAGCAGGCAGACAGCCTGGAGCAGGCCAGGGCCCGTGTGTGCAGCTCGGGGAGCACATGCCATCGCAGGGGAAATGCAGTCCAGCCCAACTAAATGGTGCCCCACACGGACAGGGGGTTCCTTTCTCCAGAGGCACTGGGAATTCACTCCTTGGGTGAAATCTCTGTAAATGCCAACAGTATAGTCTACCCACTTGTCCAGGATCCCTGGGAAGGGAGCTGAGTGCTGTTGCTCCCACTGTGTGCGTCCTGCCATTTCAGCTCCCAGTTACTCGAGCCACCTACTCAGCCTTGCTGGTGGGGAGCTGAGCACCAGGACATCCGCTCCTTCCCTTACAGACCCTGAGCACTTGTGCTGGCCTGGACACGGACTGCCTGCCTGGGACTGACCAGCTCAGGGGAGCAATCCCAGCGGGCTCTGATGTGCTTATTGTCTTTCCTGGCAGGTTCGGTTGATGCAGGAATCTGTCCGAAGGATAATCGAGGCCGAAGAGTCCAGAATGGGTGAGTAGGCGTGTCCTCTCTTGGGCTGGGGTGGGTTCCAGGGGTCTCAAAAATCGTAAGGGAAGTATCCAGAGAAGGCCTGTCCCTGCACTGACTGGTCTGTCCTCAGGGCTCATCATCGTGAACGCTTGGTACGGGAAATTTGTCAATGACAAGAGCAAGAAGAGGGAGAAGGTGAAGGTGATCGACGTGACTGTGCCCCTACAGTGCCTGGTGAAAGACTCGAAGCTCATCCTCACGGAGGCCTCCAAGGTGCAGTGCCAGGCCCTGGCCTCCCACCAGAGGAAGAGCACCCTGGTCTCGCCCGGCCAGCTGGTTACTGTGGCCTTCGTGTTGCCAGCATCCGCTCCATGCACCAAGTAATGCCCGTGCTGGAGCCGTGGGCCGTCTTCGTTTGTTTATTCTTAAATCTATTTGCTCAGCAAGTGGCAGCAAATGGAACACACACTTCCCTGCAGTTGTGTTGTTTACCTCTGCTGTGTTCCAGAAAGAGGGCAAAGCCACTTGGAGCACATGTGAGTCTCGCCTTTGGAGCCTGGGGTGTGAACTCTCCAGAATTCCAGGGCAGATCAGCTCAGGCCAAAGAACTAGCTTCCTGGGAAAGCCGGGTGCTCTGCTGGGGCAGGCCACTGTGGGACAAGCGGTTCTGATAGTCACACCAGTTCCACCTCCAGAGTGCACGTCTCCTTCCACGTGCACAGTGAGGGGAGAGGGAGGCAGCGCAGACTCCGAGACTCACCATGGTTCTTTACAGGCGGGCCTGCCAGGGTTCTACGACCCGTGTGTGGGGGAGGAGAAGAGCCTCAGAGTGCTTTACCAGTTCCGAGGTGTGCTGCACCAGGTGACGGTCCCTGACAGCGAGGCCCTTAGGATACCAAAGCAGTGTGAGTAGCCCCTCCAGTCACCTGTACGTGGGGTAGCACATCAGGGTGACAGCCACCTTCCCACTGGGTCCACCTAGGAGCAGGGAGGGCAGCTGGACCCTGGCCTAGTGATTTGCCCAGAGCCTGTGATTTGTGCCCCAGGAAGCAGTGTGTCAGCCCTTTCACAGGTGAAATTGGGAGTAAGCACTTGACCAGCGTCTGCAGTATGAGTGGCTGGGAGTGAAAGTAAACTTCTGCGCTCCGATGAGGTCCTGGCAGTCTGTGCCGTGGCCATCTGTGGCCTGAGCATTGCTCGCTCCTCAGCCAGGAAGGCATGGAAATGGACGCCCTTCTAGCCTGAGGTGGCTCTGTCTTTACAGCTCACAGGATCGACACAGATGGATAAACTGCTGCAGAACCTAACTAAGAAGAGGCTGCAAAAATCTTTTCCTGGGAGTCTACAAATTTGGAAGCAGGGAAGCCCCAGACCCAGATGTTTCTATTTTATTTTATTCCTCTAGAAGGTGAACCACATCAATTACGTGAAGGGACACGCAGTCGCCCAGCGTTGTGGGTGCTGGTGGTAGGACTGAGGCGGCCCCTCACAGGCCAGACCACAGCATGGTCCTCAGCTTTTACCAAGAACCATGTTCCTGGAGGGCAGGGCCCACGGTACCGGACCCCAGTTCTCTGCACACCTGCAGCCTGGCATCCAGCAGCTCTGGGGTCTGGAGGCCTTTGTGGGCCACCCTGTCCTCACACGGGACAGCTGCTCCTCAAGTGCCCACTGCACGTGGGCAATGTGGGCAGGAGGGAGGCATCCATAGCCAAGGCCTCCAGGTGAGGGATCTGCCCAGCCACCCCACAAGCCACCTTCCTCTGCCGAAATGTCACCAAGTGAATGTGGAGGGGGCTGTGGGTTTATAAAACTGCTTTTTATCTGCGAACAAATGGGTTTGGAAACTGGTCTCTTTTTCCCCACTCCCAGAGCTGCTTCAGTCATTCCTCTTACCCCTGGCTTGGAACTTGATGTAACCCCAGAGCCTGTCCCTGTGGGAAAAGGCCCTGCCACCAGTGGACAAAAGCTAGCTGTGTCCATCTCAACCTATGACACATACTCCCCTCCAGAGTTCAGTGCTGGAACTAGGGGAGGTCTGCACAGAAAAGGCAGACAAGAACGGCCATACGCACCCAACCAGAGGTAGGGACCCCAAGGCTGGCCCCAGCACCTGTGCCTCCCGTGAGTGCCCAGCAGGTGGCACTGTTATCCCAAGCCCGGCTCCTTCTGGGGTGTCTGCTGAGACCCCTTGGTGTGCCCCACTTGCTGTGTGCCACAGTGAATAGCTCCCTGGTGATCAGAGACTTGTCAGCTGGGCCTTGGAGCCAGCAGTGGTCACTTGCTCATGGCCTCCAAGCAGATGCTGCCTTGGCAGTGGTGATGACCACTGGCCCGGAAGGCTGAGGTCACTCTGGCCTCCAGCTCCCCTGCAGCTAAGATCAGGCTTCACTCCCCAGCACTGTTATCTAGGTAACTGCTGATGACCCCTCTCCAGTTTTTAAAAGTGGTTTAGATTGTCCAATTCTGTAATATCTCAATTTTAAAAGGGGAAGTTTGTGGCTGCCCCACGAATGAGCCTGAGCTCGCAGCCTGGTGGTCCGACCCCAGGGCACTGCTGCTGTCTGTCTGAAGCAGGCTGTTCAAGGGCACTCTGCCCACAATAAAGACATCCTGAGAGCTGAGGGTAGTTCTTTAATTGATCTGTGTGTTCATTTTTAGGAGTTCACAAAATAAATAAGTGGCTGCCTCTTCCCCAGAGGCCTGGTTCTTGTCCTGATTCTTCACTGTTGAGCCACGTTTTACACCACAGCTTACCTTTCCCTTTGCCTTGAAGATGTGGTTCTGTTTTCTACATCAAACACTGGCCTCCAGTTAGGAAGTCAGCTCAGCTAGGATATCACAGCTTTTTTTTTGTAGTCACAGGTAGGCACGCCCAGCCTATTCTTTAATGGGAAACAGGAAGTTGGTCCTCTTAGCAGCAGGAAAAGACAAGATAGCAGGAGAAAAAATGAAATGAAGGAGAGAACACTGCATGTGGAAAGACACTTTATTCTGGTGTTCACCAACACCAGGTGGAAAGGAGGCACTTCTCCCAGCTTCCGCCTCCGATCAGGTCAGGCCCACTGTCCAGGATGACAGAGGGGACCCACTCACAGGTCACAGCCATCGCTCCCTCTGCATGGGGGCGGGAGGGCCCCACAGGCTGTCCCTAAAGGAGGTGCACTGGCAGAGAGGGTTCCCCCCCTCGGGGAGTGCCTGTGACACTGTCGGGTCAGTTCTTCACGCTGGGGTTCCAACCATGCTTGCACAGAAACCAGACTCACCCTGGCACTTTGGTGCCCCAGCAGGTGTGGCTCTGGCTCACATGCGTCCCAGCCCCTGCTCCCCCGGCAGAGGCCTCTCAGTAGACCAGGTGGCCCCTTCCTCAGTATCAGCAGCAAACCCAACTGTCCATGACCAGAGCCCCCAAATCACTGCCTGCCCTGGGTGCTGTTTCCAGCTCAGCTCCGCTGCTCCGGCCGTGGCCTGGCCTGGGGTCCCTGCTGACCCCCTCTGTGTGTGCGGAGGCGGCTGGACATCCTCTGCATCACCAGCCTCTGGGCCTTCAAGCGCTTTCTGAGCTTTTCGTTTTCTTTCAAAGTGAAGAAGAGTTTTTTTTTCAGGGCATCTAAGTCCAAAAGGGCATAGCTGTGGTCAGAAGCCTGCATGGGGAGGGCCCTCTTCAGCCCAGCGGGGCTGGCTGGCCAGCCAGGAGCCTCTGCTGCTTCTGATCTCTGTGGCAAAACCTAAGGACAGAGTTGAGCAAGAGCCATGAGCTGCCCAGATTGTCCCCAGCAGGAAGACTATCCCAGTTGGGGCCACCAGTGACCCATCGCCAGTCCAGTTCTGCTCCGGCCCTGCCAACAGGGCCCTGCCACTGCTCTGCTGATACACAGTGTACCTAAGTCCTGCTGGTCACCTTTACTGGGAAGCTCTAAAATCAAGGCCACTGATCCTGCTCCTCTCATTCTCTTATTAGGGGGGACAAGGTTCAATGTGTAGCAAAATGAGCTGCCAAGATCAACTGACCACACGCTGCCTTCTGTGAGGACCCATGTCTTACCTGCTGCAGGGGGCCTTCAGTGTTTGGGGGCAGCTGCAGCTCTTCCAGCGCAATGTCCATGCTCTTCCTTGGGCCGTCCTCCTCGGCCCCTGCCTCAGGGCAGACCTGGGAACGGCAGGCAGGATGGCGAGGCAGGGAGACACCAGACACCACAGCTGCCACCATCCGTCCCTGAGCAATCCCTGCATAAGCAGCTACAGCCAGGGATGGCCACAGGGCCTGCACAACAGTAGAAACAACCTGCCTCTTACGCCACAAACCTGAGACCAGGGCACCAGACGTGGAACCCCCCAAGGTCTCTTACGCTGAACAGAATGAGGGATGGCTCTCCCTTCACAAGAAATGAAGTGACCCAGACTCTAGCTGTGAGGAAATGGAACAAACCCCTGCAGGCCAGCCAGCCATATTAAGAAGCTGCTGCCCTCACCGTAGACCCCACAGCGTCACTGAGATGAGCAAAGAACAGCCAGCACAAACTCACCTTCTCTCCCTGAGAGCCGGCATCTCCTCTCTCCCTGGCTCGGTTTGTGTTCTCCCTCACAGGCTGCAAGACAGGACACAGCAGGTGCAGCCAAGGCATGATGAGATCCCCATCACTAAGGTCCCCTGGAGCCAGGCCTTGGGCTCCTGTGACCCCAGTGTTCAGCCTGATGCGGGGCATACCCAACCACTCTTGCTCAGCCTGTGCTCCCTTTCTCCAAAGATGTTCCCAAGTCATGGTCCGAAGGCCCCTGAACAGGGCCCTGTAGAGCCAGGACTTAACAATACACACGTGTTGCCCCAGGGCTGCCATCTGGCCATCAGTAGATGTTTGCCGTGTGACAGCACACAATGGAAAGCCTGGCACCACAGACACAATCTGAAGTCCCTGCTCAGCGCATGTGCCCGCAGGAACCATAACCAGTTTCTCTTCACCAATCTGATGTGGGCACCAAGCACAGCAAAAGCACACATATCCTCCTGGCCAGCTGTGTAACTGACCTCTTACTCCTGGGGCAAACATTCCACACATGTGTGTGAACATGATAAAACGACTCCACCTCTTAACAAGCATGCACTGAGCAGCCCCCTGGGTGCGGGTATACGGCACTGAGCCTATCCCTGCCGTCATGGTCCTTCCATGGTTCAGTGGGTGTACACACTAGGAAGACCAAGGGCAAGAAAGGGGTACTATGGAGAGCCAGAGGGACAGAACAGACCTGGAGATGAAGCAGCAAGAGTGGGGGTGGCAGGGAGGCCTCTTGTGAAGGGCAGAGCCAGGGCAAGCTTCCCACTCCTGAGCTCGGGCCCATCACTCGCTCCCAGTACCAGTCAGCCTAGGGGCCTGCTGTTTGCCCCACACCACTTTGCCCTCCGGCTTCAAGCAGGTGCACCCTAGGGGCCCCCACACACTGGCCTTGGCACACCTAAGGTTTAGGAGTCAACTCAGTCTCCATGGCTGCCATATCCAGCTATTGTGAACTCCCTCCCAAGCAGAACCTGAACTTCCTGTCCCCACCAAGACATGTCTACCTTCATGTCCCACGGGAATGTCAAACTCCACCTGCACAAAATCAAATTCAAGCCACCGCCAAGGACTTAGCAGCCTCACCCTCGAGCCCCCTCGCTTCCAGATGTTCTATCCCCGCTGCCCACCTTCCCCTAGCAGTTTCCACGGAGGAAGAGGAATAGTAGCCTATGTCCGTTACCCAGGACCTCTGTTCTAGCGACCCCTTAGCTGATGCAAGTAAGGGTGGTGACCTGCTTCTTGCTGGCCCCGAGGGTTATATCCATATGAGAAATCAACACAGACAGCAGGAAGACCCTAACCACTGTCCAAGGGATCGATGATGACGACAGTAAAAAACTAGTGGAGGTGTTGAAGAAGAAATTGGCCTGCAATGGTACTGTCCACTGAGCATCCAGAAGATGCAGAAGTAATTCAGCTGCTGGGTGACCAGCGCAAGAACATGTGCCAGTTCCTGGTAGAGACTGGACCAAGGGCGATCAGCTGAAGGTTTTAACTGTTTGTGGCTCACTGAAGCTCAAGTGAGGATTTCCCTGCCATGAGTCCCTTGTCTCAAGTTCAAAAACCTCACAGCTTATAAAATTTAACCATTTGAGATCTGCTTGTAACTTGTAGTAGTGTAACTCCTTCATGCATACACTGAAAACAGCCATGCCAAAAAAACCCAGGGAGTCCAGGAACCACCTGCTCCAGGGGCCAGCAAGCTCTGCCCTCCCGAGCTCCCTCCCTGCCCACCAGCACCACGAGGTGCACCACACTGCCCTCGTCACTCACAGCTCTGCTCACTGGCCTCCAGAGGAACTTCTGCCAGGCCACAGGTAGCCTTCCAAAGCCATGACCCTCCCACTGCTACGGACTGAATGTTTGGTTACCCCCCCAAATTCACATGTCGAGACCCTAACCCCCAGTGTGATGGCCTTTGGAAGCACTAGAGTCGATGAGGTTATGAGGGTGGGTCCAGATGATGGCACTAGTGACCTCATTAGAGCAAAAGGGAAACCTACTCTCCGCTGTTTGCCAATGTGAGGATACAGAACGGAGAAAGCCATCCACAACCAGAAGCAGGTCCTCCTCAGGACCTGGGCATACTGGCACCCTGGTCTTGGACTCGCAGCCTCCAGAACTCTGAGAAAGAAATGCTGCCTTTCAAGCCACCCAGGCTAGGTCCTCTGCTATAGCAACCTGAGCTGGCTAAGACATCCTAAAACCCCATAGCTTGTCATGCTCCCATCCTCTAGGCCCAGCTCCTCTCCCCAGCTTCTGGGACCCTCCAAAAACTGTTCCCAACTCTGACCAAATTTTTTTGACTGCCAGGCTCTGCCCACTGTCCCTGAGCCCCCTCTACTGCTCCCCCTGCAACACCATTCCATTCCCCTGGCCCAGCTCCTCTCCCTCACATCACTGCAGGCCCAGCAGTTCGTGGCATAGCACACAGTAGGACCGCACAGTGGTGCACGCTGCACAGTCCTGTACTAAGTCCAGTACTAAGACAAAGAGCACTGTGCCTGTCTGCAGCACCAAACCTGCTGCCTCAAGGGGAAGGAAGATCTTCCCTGCATGGTCCCCAACCCAAGGAAACCCAGGCAGAGCAAGAGGCAAATGACCAAACTCAGCCAGTCAGCTGCTCCAACAACAACTGTGGTGAAGAGGCTGGGTTTGTTTTTAAGAGACAGGCTATGCTGTCCAGGCCGGCCTCGAACTCCTGGGCCCAAGCAATCCTCTAGCCAGAGTGCAGGTGCACACCATGCCCAGCGTTACATGATTTTATTTTTATATTTTTGGTACTGGGATTGAACCCAAGGGCACTCTACCACTCAGCTACATCCCCGCCATTTTTGTTTTTCATGTTGATACAGGGTCTTGCTAAGCTGCCCAGGCTGTTTTCATACTTGTGGTCCTCTGGCCTCAGCTTGGAGTCGCTGGGATTACAGGGGTGCATCAATATACCCCAAACAACTTATTTTAAAGCAAAGATCACAGCCAGCAGTGCCAGCCTCTGGGGTCCAGAGCCCTGACAGTACCACCCCCAAATAGTTCTTGACCTTTGCTTTTCCTGCAAATGCTACCTCCACCCCCAACTGCTGGAGGAACCCATTGGGCTGAATCTGAAGAGACCAAAGGCGGTCCCTACCTGCGTGGAGTCCTGAAAGGCAAACACTGTCGGCACAGCATTGTGCTTCAGGTTTTTGCGGTTTCCAAATGCACTGAAGCATTCGGGTCTGAAGTGCTCGGAGCAGATGACCGTGTGCTGCTTAGGCTTGAAGCCAGCCCGGCCGATGTTCAACACCCACTCCTTCAGCAGCTCAGGCCGGCTGAATGGGAACCTGAGGTGCAGACAGAGGTGAGAGGTCTGGCAAAGCTGAGTTCAGCACTACTGCAGGGTACTTTATTGTACAGCTTTGGAAATTCATAATCTCACTTTGTTAGATCACATCTAATTTCTGGAAGCTTCTGGCATGGCTGTTAACAGCATTCTTAATGGAAACCTGAGAGGATAAACATGGTCAAAGAGCCCAAATGAGGGGCTGGGACTGAAGCTCAGTAGTAGAGCACTTGCCCAGCACATGTGAGGAGACAGGAGACAGGTCTCTTGCAAACTGTCCAGAGCAGAGTATTTGTTGGAGGGTGGGGGTGGGAGTTGGTGCCACCCAGATGCCCTTCAATTGTAGGGCAGATGAACTCTGGTATATACATCTGATGGAATACTATACTGCAAAGAAAAGGAATGGACAGCTTCTGCACATGGCAAAGGATGACTCTGAAACAATCCTGAGCCAAAGACAGAAAAAATACATGCTGCGATTCCATTTCTGTAAAGTTAAAAACCGGCCAAATCAATCCATTCTGATAGAAGGCAGGACTTTCCCAAGGGCAGATGGGAGGAGGACGACTGGAAAGGGGTGCAGCAGCTCATTCAGCAGGCTTCACTAGATGAAAACAGGTCTGTGTACGATACATCAATAGAAACATTAAACAGTGCCATGGCCAGAGAGCACAGGCCGTCGACCCTCTAGAGACGCTGCAGGGCGGAGCCCTAGAGGAGTGCTCTCCTGGGCAGGGGCCCCTGGCGTGCTGGAAAAGGGGTCCTGGGCTGCAGCACCCCTTCAAGTGCCCGCCATCCTCCCATGACCGCGCGGTCCCTGCCCGCCGCCCGGCCCCGAGGGTTCCCATCCCTGCTCGCCAAAGACGGGTCGGGAGCCGGCGGGGCAGGAGCACAGCGACCCGCCGCGGCCCTCCGGGGGGTCCCAGCGCAGGCGGCCCTCTGGGGGGGTCCCCGGCGCAGGCAGAGCGGGCGCGGCCCCTCCTGGTCCGCTCCTCCCCGCGGCCGTGACGGCCCCGCCGGCGCCCCTGGCCTGCGAGCCCGCCCGGCTCCCGCGCCCCGCCCGGCCCTCACCGGTGGAAGGTGAGCTGCTTCCTGCGGTTGCTGTAGCGGTTGCAGCACTGCCGGGCCGCGCACGACTTGGGCATCTCGGAGCCGGGCCCGTCGCCCCCAACAAAGATGGCGGCGGGGCTGCGGGGCGCGGGGCGGGGCCGGCGGCGCGGGGCGGGGCCGCGGGCGGGGCGGGGCTGCAGGCCACCGCGGGCCAAGGCCAGCCCAGCCCGGCCCGGCGCGCTGCTCCTGCTGTCCCCAGGAGCGGACGGGCTCCGGGCCGCCAGGTCGAGGTGACCCCGGCCCCAGCTGGCCAAGCCCTAGGCCTCCGAGGCTCTCGCCCGCCGACAGCCTGGACGCTAGGACCAGACTCGAGCCCAGTGCGCCCGGCTGTGCGGGTCTCCGTTCAGGAGGTGGTAGGGTCGGGGTCCTGACGTCACTGGAGGGGCCAGCCGGCCAGTGGCTGGCCTGATAGTGCAGACTTGGTACTGGGGATTCCCCAGGATAAAGGGACAAAATGAGCACCCAGGGGAGGTTCTATCCGGGCTTGCGTAGCCTCCCTGGCGTCCAGCAAGCCAGTCTGACCAAGAAACAGCGAGAAAGCTTTCGAGGGTGCTGGGATGCCTTCCCCTCTGAAGGATTCACTAGTAAAGCTATGGAGATGAAAGTGGCGCCCGCTGAGGCCGGAGGATCACAAGTTCCACGCCAATGTGGGCTATTTAGTAACCTAGCAAGTTCTCAAACTAATAAGGGATGGGGATGTGGCTCAGTGACACAGGACCGCCAGGTTCAATACCCAGTGTGTGTTGGGGGGGGGGGGGGGCGGGAGAGTATTAAGGGCTGTGGGCATTTTTTCGAACTGCTAAAATGCCAACTCCAGCTTTAATGGGCCAGAATCCCCCTGTAATTCTGGCATGAGGAGGCAGTTAGAAACACTGCATCCTTCGGCACAGAACAAACACCTGAAGCTAGACCAGACCCACAAAGTAGCAATATCTTTATTTACAAAATATACAGTTTCACAGAAACAGCTCGCTTTATACACATAAACTTTATAATTACACAGAACCATGTAAACGATGTTTAGTGTCTGGCCTGGCCAAAGCCCATAAGGGGCCTACTTTGGGGGTGACACCTTTCCCTCCCCTCACTTCATTAGTGATCAACCAGGAGCCCCTAGATTGGTCATGCCTAATTTGCATAAAGAAGCTGATTGCAGCTGCCCAGCTCAATCTATCCCAAAAACCAAGGTTTGTGCCTACCATTGCAGACACCACCCACAGAGATAGATTTGTTAAAACACAAACAAAATCAAGGAAATAAATTGAGATGAGTATCAAACACGTTCCAGAAGCATCAAACTTTCTAGCACACATTAACCATCACCAGGGTTGGCAGTTCCAGTCTAAAACCACACATATTCTTAAATGCACTTTAAAAAATCTTGTGAGTTGGGGCTGGGGATGTGGCTCAAGCGGTAGCGCGCTCGCCTGGCATGCGTGCGGCCCGGGTTCGATCCTCAGCACCACATACAAAGATGTTGTGTCCGCCAATAACTAAAAGAAATAAATACTTAAAAAAAAAAAAAAAATCTTGTGAGTTAAAAAAAAAAAAAAAAAAAAAAACACCTTAGAACTTTGGTTATTCTCATGGTGAAGATAGGGGACAGGCATCATCATGGGGCAGATCTTTGGCAAATTCCTCCCCAACTTGTCCTGGATGTTTGCCCCAGTCAGAGTCAGACAATAGCCTGCGGACAAGGTTTCTCAACCAGCTATTTCTCTGCAGCAGAACTCTCCCTTGGGATCTCCACAGTAAACTGAGTTTGAGAAGCTATTTCTCTCTACTTTCATACTTTAATATAAGCAACAGGACTTTTAAAAACTAAGACAGTTGACTGGACAAGTGTGAAGGATATCAGCACAAAAAAAAAAAAAAAAGGCTCTGGTTAGCCAAATAACATTTCAACCCCTTGGTGCTTCAGTGAGTGAACATGGGGAATGGCTGGTGGTGGCCTGGGCATAAATGTGCCACAGAGAAGGAAAACTCCCATCAGGGAGACTGTGGGCCCATCTTGCTTCAAATAATATGCAAATAAATATAACTTGGGTGTTCTTCCCTTTTCATGCCTTACAAGAAACAATGCAATGAGAACACAGCCACCACTTTACAAAACATTCTTGAGAACATATACTTGAACTGAAGAGTAAGGTCGATTTCAGAGAAAACTGAGGCCTCTTCTCTCCTTGAGCCCCAGAACCACCAGTGTACCAGGTATACTGCCCTTGAACACAATCTGCAGGGGCTTCAGGGCTTAGTTTCTCCAGATATGGGCTACAAAGGGGCCTCTCCAGTCCAGGACCCCCGCTGGGATCTGAGGAACACATCACAGTTCAACAGTACATTTCTTTCTTTCTTTCTTTTTTTTTTTTTTTTTTTGTGGTGCTGGGGATTGAACCCAGGGCCTTGTGCATGCAAGGCAAGCACTCCACCAACTGAGCCATAGCCCCAGCCCTCAATAGTATATTTCTAAAGACCAGTGTTGCTGTACCACTCACTCACTCACCAATGCAAACCAAAAGGACTCAAGTCCTTCTAACCTTGCCCTGGTGGAACCAGCAGGCCAGCCTGTCTCAAAGGGCATACTTAAATCCCCCACAAGAGAGACCTCCTGTTTTTCGGTACCCCATCATTTAAAGGAACACCATTCATGTCCTAGCAATTGCCTAATCTTTAGGTTGCTACTGGAATAAGTAAGAGGAAGAGATTAGAAAACCTAAGCACTCCCCATGCTTGAAAACAGCTTGCCTGGGCCACCTGAGGTGCCTTGTACACCAACTGGAGAGAAAGGAAGGGCACCAGGCGAGAAATCGGCCAATACTTTTGGCTGAATCGTGCAAAGACAGGTTTTTCACATCGTGCAAAACAGGAAACCAAGTTATGAATGTGGGCTATCTCACCCCCCAAGCAACCCTTTCCACAGAGCAGTGACCACATATAATCCCTTCAACAAACGGGGAAACCAAAGAATTACAAGCTCACCTGACACCCCAGAACTCCTCTTGGTGACATCAGAAGACGCCAGCAGCAGCTCCCTGGACTGGCAGGGGCCATGGAAACAGGTATTGAGTGCAGGCCACAGGGAAGGGGACACTTGGATGGCTGCTGTACAGACACTTACGGTGAGAGACTGACACTCAAGAAGAAACGTACACATATGGCTGTTCGTTTACAGGCTGGGGAAACCGAACATCTCCTCTCCCCAACAGTGGAAGCAGGAATAACAGCTAGCACTTGTTCCAACAGTGGGAATTTGTTAACAATGATAGCAAAAATTCACAACAACCACATACCCTCACTTTCAGCTGAACCAAACCCACCATACTTGGGTGTTTAGTCCACTTCCACTGCAGAGAACACAGCTCTGGCAGCAGCTTTGGCCAACAAAGATTTTATTCGCTCACTGGCTATGTACAGTTTCTACCTCGAACAGCCTGTCCTTTTGCTTAGGCACCTGAATGGCAGGATCTGCCTGTACCAGAGCTGGGAGTTCTGTGCTCAACTGAGGGAGGGCCACAGAGCTCCAATTCCTTCCAGTCCCTCGCCTGGAGTCTCCTCGCCAGCGCAGTCAGTCTAGGAACAGCTTCCGGGAACCCATTCGGGAACGGTTGGAACGGCGGATGTCAAACTTGGAGTCCCGGCACTTTTGGCAGACAAACACTTCTGGAACATTGGACTTCCGGATTTTCGCACAGGACAGGTGAATCCAGGTGTGGCACTCATTACACTCTATCATAGGGCGGCCAGCAAATGGCTTCATGCAGAAGCAGGTGACAAGGTCCCAGGAATCATCATCTGGAAGGAAAGAAACACATTTTAAGAGGGGAAAACTTTTTTGGTGATACTGGGAACTGAATCCAGGGGAACTCTGAGCTATGTTCTCAGACCTTTTCATTTTTTATTTTAAAACAAGGTCAAAATTGCTGAGGTTATCCTGGAACTTGTGACCCCCTGCCTCAGTCTCCTGAGGCACTGGGATCCCTTTTGACAGCCACTTTCCCCCAGAAGAACTGCTCGTTTGACAGGCAGAACAGCTGGACATGGCTGCAACCCACTACCCAGCCCACAAAACAAGCCCAACTTCCATACGATGCCATTCTCTCTACAGGAATGTGCAGTAAGTGTATCAGGAGGGCACTCAGTTGTGGAGTGACCATTTCTACATCTTGAGGTCTGCTGTGGCACCTGGGCTGTTTCAACACTGCTAAGCATCTCTGCCCACCTTCCTGCACTTTCTCCCCCAAGGACAGTGGGCACTCTGCAACCACACTGCAAGGAAGGGCCCAGGTCCTCTGATTGGAAAAGATTACTACTAACACAACACATCTTAAAAAAAAAAAGAAGAAGAAGAAGAAGAAGAAGAAAACAACCCCTCTTCTGTCCACCAGCCCACGAGTCTCCACTCTTCTGGGATCACTACCTGAATCCACCATGATGTCCTCATCGTTGCCGGTGCTGTCCTCATCTCGGAACACCACCTGCTTTCCTTGCCGGACAATAGTCCGTTTGCCCTCAGTTTTTATTTCTTTGACCTGATCGGGTGACACAGTGGCACAAGAGCCACTTGAAGGAGTGTCGGAGTCCCAGCCTGAGCAGGGGTCGCTGGGAGCCTGAGGGATATCCTGCAGGGTAGGACTTGTAGGGGACTCCACATATGGATCTGCAGCTTCCAACTTCAGCAGTCCCCCTCTGTATCCCTCCTTCACAGGCACATCACTGTCCCTGCGCTTTCTCTTCTTCTTCTTCTTCAGCTTGTCCGTCTTCTTTCTGTCCAGCAAGAAGTTACTGGGCTTGGCTCGCTGCAAGAGGGTGGGCTGCAGGTGGCTGAAGCAGCGGTCAGACACTGGCAAGGGCACAGAGGACGCGATGTCAGTGAAACCAGTGTCCCAGCCATCACTGTCAATGGTGCCAGCAGTGCTGTTGGCAGGGCTGGGGCTGCTCCTCAAAGGGAGCTCCTGAAAAGACAGGCAAAGGAAACAAATTCTGGTTACTGAGTCCCCAGTGACAAGAGCCAGCCCCCAGTAGAGCTTCCCTAGCTCACCCATCACCCAGGTTGGGCCTCCCCTCCAGCAATGAGCAAGCACAACCTCAGCCTTGGTGCTTCTCAGCAGCACACACCAGATTAGTACTTTAACATGAGCCTCTGGTGGAAGAACTGTCTTCCCTTGCTGAACTCTCAGACCCTGCCCCAGAGTGAGCTGACGTTCAAATGCCCAGGGAAAGAGCTGAGGGTGTGGCTCAGTGGTAGAGGCCTTGCCTAGCATATCAGCCCCAAGGGGAAAAATTAAAAATTGAGGAAAGGACTTCTGCAGACACACTCTCATATCCTTTTTTTTTTTTTTTAAAGGTCTCTCTTTCCATTTGTCCTCCCAAGAGATGTATTTTTTAAATTAAGTGAATTTAAATTAGTTTTGAGAATTTCCTGACAGTCTTAAAGAAACTGAAGACATCCTAGAATATTGCAAAATCAAAGTAAATAATTACCGCCCTGAAGCAGCAAACTAAACTCTACAGTTCTTCAGATCATTCAAGCATATTATCTGCAAACAGTGGCAACATAACCCACCTATATAGCCAGTGGAAAGAATAAACCAATTCTATGATTTTGCCTCCTGAAAATACCAGATCCTTTTATTTGTAGCTTAATATAATATGAATGAGGCCCCTGAAGTTTGAGCACCACAGCAGCTCTGTCCCACAATCCTGTCCTTTTCTCCATTTACATAGGATCTGGGGGGGATGAGTCTCTGAAGATTTGGTTATGTGCTGTTCACAGCCACCAGGAGGCTGCCTGAGAGACAAGTGTGGACCCTGGGTCCTAGGGCAAGGTATTTCCCTGTCTGCCTCAATGACCTCTCACCCTTAAGGGCCAAAACCAGTGTCCAGTCACTGTAAAGTACTGACAAGAAATTCTTAAGAGCAGACAGATCCCAAATACATTATTTCCAAAAAATTTTGAAAGTTTTAAATCATTTCTATACAAGTCTGTATTTTCTACCACAGCTTTAAGAACGACTTTTCTGCATGGTGGCATACACCTGTAATCTCAGAAGCTCAGGAAGCTGAGGCAGGAGGATCACAAGTTCAAGGCCAGCCTCAACAACTTAGCAAGACTCTAAGCAACTTAGTGAGACCCTGTCTCAAAATAAAAATTTTTAAAAGGACTGGGGATGGGGCTGAGTGGTAGAACGTTTGCTTAGCACATGGGAAGCACTGGGTTCAATCCTCAGCACCACATAAAACAAAGGTATTGTGTTCATCTACAACTTAAAAAAAAGAGGCGAGGGAGGGGGGCTGGGGATGTAGCTTAGTGGTTTAGCACCCTTGGGTTCAATCCCTGGTACCACCCACCCAAAAAAAAAAAAAAAAAAAAAAAATACCTTCCCTGGCTGGACTCCACACCCAAAAAATGAACTCCTACCAGACCACTGCCTGAGATCACTAGAAGCAAGCCCTTCCAAATGTACTTGGACCAAGTGCTGGGGTGCAACTGCACGGGGAGCCAAACTTCAAATGCCTGCATATTTACCTCCTTTGGGTAAGGGATGTATCCAGCATAGGCCAAAACAAAGGTGCAGAACTTGTTGAAGTCCTCTACAGTCCTGCGCCTCTTGCAACTGGGGGAGTACTCCTGTTAGGGAGAAAATGGAGTGTGAAGGAAAGAAAGGCTTCTAGGTGGGACTGCAGACAGACAAGGAAGCTGAGCTTCTACTGTCAACCACTTAACAAACACACTGCTGGATTTACAGCCTACAAAACAGAAGAGGTAAGTTCAGGTTAAGAAATAAAACAGTTTTCGGAAGAGCCAAAATGGTAAGATTTTATGCCAAGAACACTGAGAATCCGACTAAGAGATAAAAGGTGGCAGGAAAGTCGACCTCTTGGTGCTCATGGGTCATTTTATGACCTTATCTTCTGGTTCCTGCACATATCGGGAGCTCTATGTTTTTTGCTACAGGTTTTCCATTTTGAAAGTAAACCACTGCTACTGCTGTAACTAGAGTGCTGGGACTTGGAAAACCAACGCTTATCCGGCCCTGCTCTCCAGGCTGACCCCTGCCCGGCCAGGGCGGGTGAGGACCAAGTTTCTGTGAGTCAAGAGCCCCCCACAATCCTCAGAGTCGGGTGCAACCCAGACAGGGAACCAGGTACGCTCCGGCTGCACGCCGAAAGGCTGGACCCGGACACGGGCCCCGGGGGACGCGGGGGACGCCCTCCTCGAGAGGAGGGAGCGCTGAGGCGCCCTGGCCTCGGCCTCCCGGTAGCGCGCCCCACAAGCCACTTGTTGAGCGCCCTCCAGCTCCGGGCAGGCCGCCGCCCCCCGCCGGCCCCCGCCTCCCGCCCGAGGCCGCGGCGCGACCGCAAACTCAGGGACAACTTTACTTGGCGGGGGCCTCGCTCGAG